GATAGAACCCACATATCCTAAGTGCTGTAAGACCCCTGCGCGGTCAGAGGTTACCCACTGATACACAGTAAGAGTATTAGGGTAAACTTGGGAAAATTATATAGTAGTGTGATGTATCTAGAACGATAAGGGTCTTGATAGAAAGAATTCTATTAACCTGGTATAAGCTTCTAATTGCTAATTATAATCCCTACCTTCCCTCTATATTCTTTTGCTCCACCGTTCTTTTTCTGCTGTTTCTATCGTCTCTTGCCTCCTTGACTGCCTTCCTCGCTGCGCTCTCTCTCTTTCTCCGCCTCGCCTTCCCTGCCATCCTCATCACCCTCTTCCTTCTCCTCCTTGCCTTCCTCTCCCCCCTCTTCTTTCGCATGTCTTCCCTGCCATCCTCATCTCCCTCTTCCTTCTCCTCAATGCCTTCCTCCCCGCCTTCTTCTTTCGCTCCTTCTTCCCTGCCATCCTCAGCGCCCTCTACCTTCTCCTCCTCCCTGCCTGCTCGTCAAACACAGCCTCAGTACGACTCCCAAGGGAAGTGATCAATTACACCGCTGCCACAATAAAGAACACGAAAGTTTTCCCTAGGTTTGCTCTCTCTTTGTGTGTGTGTGTGTGTGTGTGTGTGTGTGTGTGTGTGTGTGTGTGTGTGTGTGTGTGTGTGTATGTGTGTGTGTGTGTGTGTGTGTGTGTGTGTGTGTGTGTGTGTGTATGTGTGTGTGTGTGTGTGTTGTGTGTGTGTGTGTGGGGTGTGTATGTGTGTGTGTGTGTGTGTGTGTGTGTGTGTGTGTGTGTGTGTGTGTGTACTCATCTATTTGTGGTTGCAGGGTCGATTCATAGCTCCTGGCCCGCCTCTTCGCTGATTGCTACTAGGTCCTCTCTCTCCCTGCCCCATGAGCTTTATCATACCTCGCCTTAAAACTATGTATGGTTCCCGCCTCCACTACGTCACTTTCTAGGCTATTCCACGGCCTGACTACTCTATGACTGAAGAAATACTTCCTAACATCCCTTTGATTCATCTGAGTCTTCAACTTCCAATTGTGACCTCTTGTGTCTGTGTCCCTTCTCTGGAACATCCCGTCTTTGTCCACCTTGTCTATTCCGTGCAGTATTTTATATGTCGTTATCATGTCTCCCCTGACCCTCCTGTCCTCCAGTGTCGTCAGGCCGATTTCCCTCAACCTTTCTTCATAGGACAATCCCCGTAGCTCTGGGACTAGTCCTGTCGCAAACCTTTGCACTTTCTCTAGTTTCTTGACGTGCTTGACTAGGTGTGGATTCCAAACTGGTGCTGCATACTCCAGTATGGGCCTGACGTAAATGGTATGTGTGTGTGTGTGTGTGTGTGTGTGTGTGTGTGTGTGTGTGTGTGTGTGTGTGTGTGTGTGTGTGTGTGTGTGTGTGTGTGTGTTTGTGCGTGTGCTTACTCACTTCTATTTGGTTGCAGGAAGTCTGGGCTTAGCTCCTTGCCCCGCTTCTTAACTTGCCGCTTGCTAGATTCGCTTCCCTCTAATCTCGTGGGTCCTGTCATACCTGCTCTTAAAGCTATGGATGGAGCGTGCCTTTACCACTTCTTCATCGAGTTCATTCCACTTCCCTACCACCCTGACTGTAGAAATACTTCCTGTCATCCCTGTGGCTCATCTGTGTCTTTAACTTCCACCTGTGTCCCAGGGTTCTAGTTTCTCGCCTCTCAAACAGCCTGTCACTGTCTATCTTATCAGTTTACCTGAATATTTTATATGTTTTTTTCTCCCCTGCCTTTTCTGTTATTTAGTGTCATCAGGTTAAATTCTGTTAGGATATCATAGCTCATGTTCTTTCACTCAGGAACAAATCATTTTGTTGCATACTTCTACTCTTTCTCCAGTTTCATAACATGTTTCCAGAGATGTGTGTCCCACACTGGTGATGCGTACTGCAAGATGAGCCTGACATATGTTATATAAATAGCCCTGAATGACTCTGCTGAAATTCTTCGAGGCTGCTCTTACATTTCCCAAACGAGCAGTGACTGCAGAGGTTGCTGGGTAGATGTGAGCATCTGGTTATATGCTAAGCACTATGTTCACCCCTAGACTCTTCTCCTTGAATGAGGTCTGTAACGTCTGTCCCTCAAGTGTATACTCCGTGTCCAGTTTTCTGGCCTCTTCCCCAGTCTTTCTGGATTTGCATCTGAAGGGGTTGAATTTAAATAACCACTTAGTCGACCAGTCTTGCAATTAGTCCAAATCCATTTGCATCCTTTCCCCATCCTCATCTGATTTTATTCTTCATATAAGATTTATATCATCAGCAATCAAGGACACATCTAACTCTGTCCCATCTGGAATATCATTCACATAAACAAGGCACATTATTAACCTCAATATGCATCCTTGCGATACCCTTCCTTGTTACCTTTCTCCATCAGACGTCTCTTCCTGGACAATCACTCTCTGCCTCCTTCCCGCAAGGTATTCGTTTTTGCTCCGGAGTATGTTCCTTGTTATTGCGCCAAGTTTTTGCCCCGTTGTCATGTGGGATATTTCATCAAATGCCTTCTTAGCAGTCTCAAGTAAATCTAATCCACCTAACCCTCTCTCTCTTTTGCCTCACTTTCGTTACTCTGTCATAGAGTTCTAACAGAGATACTGTCTCTGAACCCGTAATGGTTATTGTTAATAAACCTCTTCTCTCCAAGTGCTCTACCACTCTCCCTCTAACTAATTATTCTATTAACTCGCAAGGTATGCATGTTAGCTACACTGGCCTGTAGTTTAATGCTTCCTGCCTGTCTCCTTTCTTAATTACAGGTACTGCATACGCTGTCTTTCTGATCTCTGGTAGCTGTCCCGTGTTCAGTGACTTCTTGTATATCTTAGAAAGTGGTTCGGACAATGTTTTTGTTCCCTTTCGCAGACTCCATGGTGACACCTTGTCAGGTACCACTGTCATTG